TCCACAATAAGAATAGCATCCCTGGGTTTTGCACCACTTTAAATAAGCTTATGCAACTTCTATATGCACGCAGCACCGTTCCATCCACTTCTTCCTTGTTGGGATTGATACAGCCACTAAAGAAAAGCATGAGTGCTCCATTATATCAGGGAGGTAACTGTGCTTCCGCTAACCAGGCAAAGGAGGAAACCAAGCCCCGCTCACTTCCTTTCTTACTGTTGCTTCTGTAATACCAATACAAAACTAAATGCAAAGCACTCATGCAAACGTTCATATGAAACCTGGGTACATGGCAGCTGCATTTCAAACTTGGGTGCATACATGAAGCCTCCTTTCAGAGTGACTGGACCTCTTGTAGGTCCCATTTGTTTTTATGGGAACATCTCTGACAATCAGGCCATTAATTTAGGTACCTGAATATGGATCTAGATCAGGGGTGGGCAAACTTTTTGGCCCGAGGGCCACATCTGGGTGGGAAAATAGTATACGGGCCCGTGAATGTAGGGCTGGGGCTGCAATGTGCAGGCGGTGGCTCAGGGCAGAGTGTGCGGAGTTCAGGAGGGGTGCGGCGGGGGCTCAAGGCAGGGGATAGGGGTACAGGACGGGGTGACAGGGGGCTCAGGGCAGGGGGTTGGGGTGCAGGAGGGGTGTAGCAGGGGGTTGGGGGCTCAGGGAAGGGGGTTGATGTGCAGGAGGGGGTGCGGAGTGCAGGAGGGAGCTCAGGGCAGGGGGTTGGGGTGCAGGAGGGGTTCGGGGTGCGGGCTCCAACCTGGCGCCGCTTACCTGGAGCAGCTCTGGAGTGGCAGCGATGCGCAGCGGGGCTAAGGCAGGTTCCCTGTCTGCCCTGGCCCCGCGCCGCTCCTGGAAGTGGCCAGCATGTCCGGCAGTGGCTCCTGGGGGTGGGTGGGACAGGCGGCTCCGCCGTGCGCTGCCTTCACCTGTGGGTACCACCCTGAAGCTCCCATTGGCTGCAGTTTCCTGTTGCTGGTCAATGGGAGCTGCAGGGGGCAGTGCCTGCAGGCGAGGGCAGCGCTTGGACCCTCTGCTCCTTCTGCCCCCAGGGGCCACAGGGATGTGGTGCCGGCCGCTTCCGGGAGCGGTGCAGGGCCAGGGCAGGCAGGGAGCCTGCCTTAGCCCCACTGTGCCACTGCAATCCCGTGGGCCGGATCCAAAGCCCTGATGGGCCGGATCCGACCCGTGGGCTGTAGTTTGCCCACCCCTGATCTAGATGTCTACCTGGAGGCACCCAAGTGTGAACAGCTTGGCCTAATTGCAGTGACCAGAAGGGGTAGATTTAATAGAAAAACCCCAGTAGGCAAAGAATGGGGAGGGCCCAATGATTTGGCCCAGTCTAGGCCTTGGAGAATGGGAGAAAAGAACAGTTAATCTGTCCTTAAATGTGTGCACCATTTCTTGCTGCTTCATTCTTCCCTCCGTTTCATTCCTCCCTTCTTGTCTCCTCTTCTAGCCTTTTAATATTTTCTTGTCTTCTTTTTCTCTCCTTTTTATTGTTTTCCCCTATCCTCCCATTTTTCCCCTCTCTTCTTTCCAAGGTGCTACACGTCGAGCTTGACTTTCTGATCTCCCCACCCATCCGCCCACAGATGCGCCTACTGGGTCTCCCCAACTCCTCCCTCATCGTCTTTCACCACCCCACCCCACTCTCTGGGTCCACACCTTGTGGGTCTTGAAGCCTCTTCAGCCCCACTGGGTTGCTTAGACCCTTCGTTCTTTCACCCTCCTCCAGCTCTCTCAATTCACACTGTATCTCTGGGCCTCCTTACTGTCTCTCCCAATCCGTCATATAGACGAAGACAACAGCATCTCTATACCTTCTGCACTGGCCTCAGGGGTGGGGAGTTGTGAAGCGGGCCTGGAAAGGAGGAGGAAGAGGAAGAAGAGGAGCTGCCCGTCCCTAGTCACGCAGTACTCCTCCAGCCCTGTGTTCACATCACTGGGCAAGGGGCCTAGGCAGCGCACATTGACCCAGCCACCTCAGCTGAGTAGGAGTGAGGCACACTAAATCCTACCTCACAAAAGCCTGCGGAGATACCTCAGCCCCAACCCAGCTAGCTAACCAAGCACATTAATAAACTTGCCTGTTCGCCTTCATGTCTGTTTGCTAATCTGCAGTGCCCCCTGTTGTTCTCGTCCTGCTCCCTCACTTCCCCAGCTCTGCCAGTTCACCTCAGTCACAATCCACAGTTCCCCTGCTACTCCACAGCGCTCTGCCAGTTCATCTCAGCCCTGACTTGCAACACTTGCAGCCATTCCAGCCCCGGCCCTCTCAAGCAGCCACAGCCAACCCTGCCAGACTCCGAGGTGGTCTATAAACGGACCCCGGGGACTAGGATGAAACATCAAAACAACTCCTGTCCATCTGTTACTTTGGCTCAGATGTAAATTCAAGTCCAGCAGCTATGATCTAAAGACACCTGTCCATAGTGCTGACCCACTGCACTGTGGGCCTCCCCATCGCTACACCTGCTTGTTTTTTAAAGTATGTCTCTAGGTAGAGCCAGCAGGAAAAATGGGCTAAGTCCTTCTAAATCAGAAACAGCACTTCTCTTTGATATGTGTCTGAGTACTGTCAGTTTTCCTAGCTTATAAGGGAAGAATAAAAGGCAGAGAATATGGCTCTGCAAGGGGAGGCTGGATCTAGTTTTTATTCTGAAACAAAATTGAGACATGGGAGATCCAGATATGGACCCTCTCACCACAGTATCTGAGCATCACTGAAACCAGATCTCCTGAGTCTCAGTCCAGTAGCTTCATCACAAGACTTCCCTTCCTCTCTTTCAGTCTTAGTAATCCATTCATGCTAGGAATGAATTGGGTTGTGCGCAGACATATGGTGTGACTGGGATCAGACTTTAGAATCACTATGACGATGCAGAACTGTTTGGCTGACTCACCCTGACAACCCACCCGTCTGGTCTCACTAGCTACACTCAGGACTATAAGGGATTCAGCATCTTCCCTGGTGCAAAAGAGAACTAGAGGGAAGAGAGGGAGATTCTGCAGGGAAAACCCTTAATTATCCTGTTACATGAAACACTGTAGACAGCTGCAATCCACAGGACCCTGGGCTGGAACCCAGAGTAGAGGGTGAACCCTGGTTCCCCCCACCCTCCCAACTCCCTATTTGATACAAGAGGAGGTGACCTGGACTGTGGGTCCCACCAGAGGGAAAGGTCCCTGGCCTGTCCCCTGACCCACTAGGTGGGTCAGCAGAGACTGCGGGGATTGTTTTCCTCCCTTTCCCCATGGCAGCCAGTGATGAGGTTAGCTGAGTGAATGGCAGGTTTGAGCCACTAGAAAAAGTGGCCAAACTGAGGGCTGCCGTGAATCTCTGAGGTGAGCAAATCCACCAATAAGCACAGAACCCACCAAGGCAGAGGAGGAACTTTGTCACAACTGGTGTTAGGAGTGGGATTTGGTGTGCACAGCACGGCGGAAGAAGGAGGGTTTTATTAAAAATAGGAAGAGGGGGTTTTTTGGTTTGTTTTTTTCCCCTCACCACAATGGAGGACGTAGTGCGGGCATTGATACAAACCACGGCTGCCCAGCAGGAGGCTACCCGTGTCCAGGCAGCCGCCCAACAGGAGGCAGGGCGGCTACAGCAGATGACCAATTGCCTGTTGATGGACCAGGCCGCTCAAGACCGTGCTGTGTTGCAGGAACTTGTAAACCAGGTGAAGGCCCTGACAGAGCTGAACCACAGCCATGATGAGATTCGGATCATACAGGCCAGCAATTGGCTGCAGAAAATGACGCGGGAGGATGATGTAGAGGCATACCTTCTGGCCTTTGAGAGGACAGCCCTACGGGAGGCCTGGCCTCGAGATCAGTGGTCTGGCATCCTTGCCCCATTCCTGTGTGGGGAGGCCCAGAAGGCCTACCATGATCTGCCTGAAGAGGCTGCGGCAGACTACCCCCAGCTGAAAGTAGAGATCCTGGCCAGATCTGGGGTAACGACTGCAGTGCGGGCCCAGCGATATCATGAGAGGAGGTACCAGGAAGACAAAACCCCGCGCTCCCAATTATATGACCTCATCCATCTTGCACGAAAGTGGTTACGAACTGAGTCCCGGAGTCCGGAAGACATACTAGAGGTTCTGGTCATTGACCGATACATGAGGGGACTACCGCCAGACCTTCGCGGCTGGGATACACCAGAATGAACCCTCCATCTACGACGAGGTTGTCGCCCTGGTAGAGAGGCGAAGGATGGCGAGGGAACTGACCCGATCACTTAAGGAAGAGGCACCCCGGGTTAAACTAGCAGCACCAAGCCCCAGAGCTCAGGCGACTGGGCCCCAGAAGGGCCCAGGTGGAAAAAGAGAGAGGCTGAAGGTCCATCAGAGGCCACAAAGTGTCGGAGCACTGAGGGGGAAGAGGATCGGGATGTTAGACTGCCCAAACCGAGAGACCGGGGAACGCCTAGGGCCCCATACAGATGTTACTCCTGCGGGGAGTGGGGACACATAGCTGCACAGTGTCCCAATGCTGAGGAGCCTATGCAGTGTAACCTGGGGAACTGGGCAGATCCATGCTCCCTAATCCACCTTGTAGGGGTCTCACTAACCCCACATATGTACACCAGACCAGTAAAACTAAATGGGGTAGAGACCACGGCACTGGTTGATTCGGGGAGTGCTATCACACTTATCTCAGGGAAGCTTGTGAAGCCTAGTCAGCTGCTGCAGGCTAAACGTACGGGGATAACATGTGTCCATGGGACAGTTAGTTACTACCCCACCATCCCAGTAAAAATTGAAATCCAGGGGAACACCACTGAAGTAGCAGCAGGTGTAGTCCCTAAACTCCCACACCCGGTGCTCATAGGAGGGGACTTTCCAGGATTTGGAGACTTACTCCCAGTAGGGGGATTGGAGACGGGGAAACCTTGAAGTTAGTGAGGCATTCGCAGTAGACTGTCAATCCCCAGTCTTCTCTGAAATATCCCCAGATTTGGTCTCCATTCCCAGGCAGGGTAGAAAGACGAAAAGGGAAAGAAGGGCAGCTAAGTCCTTGGGGACCTGGATCCTATCCCAGGGACAGAGAATCGTCCTTGTGGGCAGGTGGACCAGGGTAGCTGGAAAGGAGGCTGCCCTGGAGGAGGAAATGCCTGAGCCTGAGCCTGACCCCCACCCTAATGTCTCTGAACCAGGAGAGGCAACAGAGACTGGCCCCCTAGAGCTCGGGCAGATTAGCCCCGGAAGAAAAATTTTTGGACGGGCCCGAGCTGAAGACCCAAGGTATGACAACATTAGGAAGAAGGTGACAAAATAGATGGGGTCCCCATGGAAGGGAAAACCCAGAGACCAGGACCCGACTTCATAATGAAAAAGGATGTCTTGTACCGGGTTGCACCAGTACGGGGCAGAAGGCACAGCAGCTTCTCGTACCTCAAAAACACCAGAACGCCGTATTAAGCCTTGCCAATCATCATCTTTTTGGGGAGGATTTGGGGGTAGAAAAGACCCTGGCACGGGTCCTACAACAGTTCTTCTGGCCCGGAGTACATGAAGTGCAGAGGTACTGTGCCTCCTGCCCGGTATGTCAGCTGCACTGTCCCCGTCCTCACCTGAGGGCACCTTTTGTACCCCTTCCCATCACAGAGGTCCTCTTCGAGTGAATAGCCATGGACCTAGTGGGACCCCTGGAGAAGACGGCCCGGGGCCACCAATATATACTTGTCATTCTGAACTATGCTACTCGCTACCCAGAAGCTACACAGCCTCTAAAACGATAGCCAAAGAGCTGGTGGGGATCTTTGCCTGAGTGGGGCTACCAAAGGAGATATTAACAGACCAAGGAACCCCATTTATGTCAAAGCTAATGAAGGACCTCTGTACTCTTCTCCATATACATACCCTGAGAACTTCAGTCTATCATCCACAGACCGATGGGCTGGTAGAAAGGTTTAACCGAACCCTCAAGGCTATGATAAGGAAGGTGGTAAGTCGGTACGGGAAGGATTGGGA